AGAATACTGTTACGTATCTGCTTGTTTGTTAATTTCCGGTAGAAATTATTTCCGAGGAACTTCAGCGATACAAGTATTTCTTGATTAAACCAGTTTATTCTTTCTCGATACAAATTTTTAGTACACAGTAATTCCACAGTCAGTACGTTTCTCGTCACTTTAAACTTAACAACTTTTATAATACACGTTATAAATCACAGCGATTCACAATCTCGATAACTTCGCTCTCTACGAGTGCAAAACACATACACTAGCTTGAAACAGAATCGTAAATTACCCGAAAAAAACCATAACTACTGTTCGCTTGTTTTATGCATTCATTCCCGCTGGCTTTCACTGCTAGGCTTATATACTAACAAAGAGGCGTCTCCAACATTCGCGAAGTTCCCCGATAATTCGAGAAACTTTTTCACGCATGCCCCCAGAGTCACGTGACTTCCACTGTCGTAACAATACTACGTAGATTAGATTTCCATCAGCAACTTCGGCAAGATCTCCTTCACAGATGCATCTTGAATCTTATAAAACGTATTTTGATGAAAATGTTTGCTTGTTTGAAGTTAAGCACAAGCGTACACGATGGGCTATCTTTGCTCTGCCCACGCCGTGTATCGAAACCCGGTTTCTAGCGTTATAAGTCGGCAGACATACCGCTGTGCCACTGGGGGGGGGGGCTGATGAAAAGTGATAAAAAATCTCCTAGTAACCGCAAAGAAAATAAAATATTTGGTGTATCAAAATAATAAGTGAATTATTACAAATACGTGTGTAAACTGTACCGAGAAAAGCTTCATAAATTTCACACCATGCAGAAAACTTGATGTGGATAACAAAAAAATAAATTTAATTTAAACCCCCAAAGCTCTGTGGGAATTTGTTGAGATTGATGGAGCGACTATTTTGTTTCAATGTGTATTTACAACTACGTAGACAGAAAAAGGCTCGTATTGGTATAATTCTTTTTAATAATTAATTTTTTTTTTACTATTTTTCGGTTCTCTGCAGGGCATAGC